AGGTTTGGTCACCATATCTTAAAAAGGACATTGCGGCCTTAGAAAAGGTGCAGCGTAGGGCCACAAGAATGATTCCTGGTCTTAGAGGAATGTCATGTGAGGAAAGGATAGTGGAGCTAAATCTGTTCAGCCTCAAGCAAAGGAGACTGAGGGGGGACATGATCCAGGTCTATAAGATTCTAACAGGTTTGGATGCTGTTCAACCAAATAGTTACTTCAGCATTAGTTGAAATACAAGAACTCGTGGCCATAGGTGAAAATTAGCGGGAGAACATTTCAAACTGGATTTAAGGAAGCACTTCTTTACACAGCGTGTAGTCAGAGTACGTAGTGCAAGCTGAATCCTTGGGTTCCTTTAAATCAGAGCTAGATAAGATTTTAACAACTCTAGGCTATTAGTTAAATCCTTCCCTAACAAGCTTGATGGGCCGAATGGCCTCCTCTTGTTTGTATACTTCTTATGTTATTATGAAATAAATAATGTAATCCAAGTAACAAGACTATGCCCATATAAAGTTATATATCCATACATCCATTGATGCATCTGGTTTAGCTGGTTCCTTTTGATATGGAGGAGCAGTGGCTCTACTTTGATCCCCTCCTGAATGTCAGAGCTACTCACCCTGTCTCTAAGGCTGTGCCCCTCTTGAATACTGGGGTAAACTCCAATGTAATGGCACCGAACTGGGGGGCTATGAGCTGACCCACACCAGCCCAACACCTCTCACCCAGGGCAACTCCAAATAAATAACAGTAACTTTAAAGACATTTAATTTTAAATGTTCTCCAAATATTGACATATTGATAGAAGACTCCGTTAGCCTGTGAAGCTAATAACCCACCACTGAGCTTTTATACAGTGTGTCTCTGCTGAAAATACTCCTACCATCAAGTGGATTTCTACTGGTTCTTCTGCTTGTTGTGATGGGAACCTGGAAGCTGTGGCAAATGCGGAGTAAGTATTTCCATCCATATTTTATACTTCTTACCCAGTACAGTGTCATTGAAAGCCTGGAGCAGTAAACTATGCAAACTCCACACACACTTTAACACAACAGCCAGCATTGGGAATCAGTTCTTCAATATATGGATGTGTTTAGGCAACAGTGATAAAAATATCTCCACCCAAGAAAGAGTCTATTCATTGATTTTACATCAGCCATATCTTGGGAATTACTTTTTCTTATTAATCAGATAGAGATGATGCAGATCCACATTATGGATTTTAATCCAGCCCATTATCCACCAGAAATATCAGCCACAATAGACACAAAAATTGGTATGAATTTGTGTGGAATGATTCTATTAACTTTATTACAGAGAGAAGAACAATAAAAAGCAACAGAGTAAGTTAACATCACACTGTGATACATGGATGTCAACAAAGCCATTATTATTACAATAAATTGCAATTATGTAATTACAATAAAGTAAATCCATTTTATTTACAATATACAATAATATAGTTTATAAAATAGTCAACTATTTTTTCAAATATAGTTTATTTTATTTTATTTTTACTGCCATCACTTCTGATCTGATATTATACTCACCATCTTTTTGCTTGCTGTTCAGTTTTACTCATTAGCATTACTGAAGAAGGTTCTCAATGACAATGGCTGTAACAGTATTGTTTTCTGAACTGTGACTGTATATTTTTGCCAAGATGGATACACACCATGATAATGAAGTTACATACAGCACTGTTGTCATCAAGGCAAATCGCCAATCAAACACTGTAAGTATAATTTCATTTGTCCTTCATATGACTTACAGTATTTGTGAAAATTATGTATCACAGCAGCGTCCTTCTGTTCTGCTCGTTACAGTCAAAAGAACGGCAGCTTAATGACTCTGGAGATGAAGTGACCTACAGCTCTTTAGTGATCCAAC